CAGCTCTCGAACCTCCGGCGCCACCAGGCCTCACACCAGCGCCCGCTGGAGCTGCTGCCTACCCGAGCCTACGCCTGCACAGAGTGTGGTCAGAGCTTCGCCCACGAGGCTGGCCTTCATGAACACTACATCCGCCATGCGCGTGGCGAGCTCTAGCCCCACCCCTGCTGGCCGGAAAGAGAAGGGGGGGTCCTCTCTGTACAGCTGCTGTCCTCAGGGAGGGGGGGCAGGAAGGGAGAAAGTAGGGGGGTTTCCCTTAGGAGTGGGGGCTGGGACTTTGCAGATGTCTGTTGGGGCACATGGGAGACATGGGGGAGACCTCCCCATTCCCTGGCCCCCTCCATGTCTGAGCCTTGGGTGCTATTTATATGGCCAGACCCCTCCCCAGTTCTGGGGTTTCAGATGGCCTCAGAGCAACACGTGTCAGGGGCAGGTAGGGGAGCATATCCCCCCACAGGGGAGGGTCCCTGGGAAGGTGGGGTGGTTGACGACCTGCAGCCCCCACAGCTTCGGCAGGAGTGAAAGGTTCTTATTTTTCATATGGAGAAAAAGAATAAAGATGATCCATGGCTGCAGGTGTCATTGTCTCCTGCCTGCCTGGAGTTTGCACTGAAGGTCACCCCAATGCTATGCTGGGGTCTAGGGAGGTTCCTAGTTGGCAGCTGGGAGTTGTGTCCGCATGCCTCTGCCGGCACCGTGGGACTGGGTGGGGAGAGATGTCAGTCCCAGCCTCAGAGACTTTCTTGGTGTAAACCCTGCTCCTGTCCCTGCAAACCCATGAGCACTGGAATTGGAGGGGGGGTGGTGGGCATGGAGCCCCACTCTTCTCTACTGGCCCTGGTGTGGTGCTGTGAAATTCATGGCCAACAGTGCCACAGCTGGGGGGAGGCGGGGGTATTCCCTAGGGGCAATAGGACCTGAACCTGAGCCAGAGGCCAGGCAGAGCAGGACAGCCAGCAGTGGGCAGTATGCTGCTGTGGGAGTGAGGCCCTGCCCCCCCCCCTTGCCCAGGGACATGATGGGAGTTGTAGTTAACCCAGTGGGGGGGAAGCCAAGTCAGAGGAGTGCCCTGCCACAGTGTATGCTGGGAGCTGTAGTCCTAAGAGGAAAATACCCTGCCATAATGCATCCTGGAAGCTATATTCTGGGGGGTTA